AGTGGAAGGGGCAGGACAGACACTTCCAAGTGTTGTTTCTGATTAGCTACATGTGCAGACCCACACCACCAGAATCATCCTCCCACTGCATTCCTCTTATCTGGGATCGGATTGACATGGCAAGGCAGGCTCACTGCTGAAGCAGCACACCATGACATTTGGCCCTCCAAAATTAAGTGATAGTCTTAGCAAACTCAAGCAGGAGCATGTGTGGGAATGCCTAGCTGTCCTGGATGTTGCTGAGAAGGGGGATGCTGCTGAAAAGAAGAGGGATGCTGCTGGAAAAACCCGCAACAGTGTTCTTGGTTTGTAGATAGATGGTGTCTGGCGTGTGGAAATAAATCATACCAACCAGTCCCATAAAATGCTGCTGTTTAGCATGGTTTGTGTTGAATTTTTAGTGAGTGGGATACAGTAAGTAACTGAGCTCCTGTTGGTGAGCGTGAAATAATAACACTTAGATGAAAAAGTGTCTCTAAACGCTTTGAGTCTGGTGGTAAATGGAAATGCACTTGTTGAACATTGAGGGTGGGACTGACATTTCAGGCTGAGCACTGGGTTTGCTTTCATTTCTGACAGCCCTTGAGGTCTGCATCAGACCTGTTTGATCTTGTGAGCTGAGGCTGTTCCCAGTGGCAGCCCTCCTTCTGGTTTGCAGTGCAGAGATGGAGTACGGTGAGTGCTGGGAAGTGGCTTACAGGGCATGTTTTCGGTCCCAGCTCTGCCCCAAAGGTCCCTTTGTTCAGGCACTCAGCTGCAGTGCGGGCGGTTGCTTGCCGCATGATGCAAAAGGGAACAGAGATTTCTTTGTTGCCCGGGACCCGGCTGCCCTGCCAGGAGAAATTGAGCCGAAATCAGCAATTTCCATCCCTTTCCCTTTCCAAATCTCGCTACCATTCTGCCAATGGGCTCGAGTGTGAATTTACCAGTGCTGTGCATGTGCAGTGCTTTGGGCTTGTCATCCTGGCGGCAAAAGAGAAACTTTCATTTCTCCTTAATAACGTCGTCTGAGGTTAGAAGCTGTAATTTTGGAGGGGATAGCCAAGCTCAGACTGGCGCTTGCATAAGCGCTCATTACGTGTGGCAAAGTAACTTAGTGCAGGAGTCGGGCATCTTGGTGAGCTGTGGCTGCTCGGGATCCCTCTGCTTCGAGCTGAGGACAAAAGACAAAAGTTTTTGCTAAAAGCTGCTCTATGCCAAGAAAATTACCCAGAGCTGCTGACTAGTATCAGCTGAACCGATGCTGCTGACGCTTTAAGTCTATGCCCTGGTTAGCAGAAAGCACTCTCAGCACTGTTTGGGGCAATAGTGATCAGAGCCGGTGCGGAGCAGGGCGCAGAGCCCATTTTGCAGCGGGATGGGGTTGGATGTGGCCTGTGCTGCGCTGCCTTCCATCACACTGGCTTCGCACGCGTGTTGCCAAGCTCAGCAACTGGCCTTCATCAGCAACAGGTATTGCTTTTCCCTCCGAAAGAACAGGATCATTGTGGCAGCAGGGAGCAAACGGGAAAAAGAAAAAAAAAAAAAAAAGGAAAGGAAAAATCCATAAAAATTTGCCTTTTTTTCCCCTTTCAGGCCAGGTGTGCTGAAAGTCGGAGATGAAGGCTCAAGTATGTTGCTTAGAATATTTGGAAGAAGCGGAGACTTATTTCTACAATAATTCCAGTTGCTACTGAGATTTAATTGGCTTTCAAGTAAGATTTAGCAGATGCAAGTAAAAACATAAACTGTACACAGATTTGCCATAATGCCATTTTTCAGTTGTCAGACATCTATAAATATTTATAGCGTGGCTGGTTATTACATAGTTGGGTAATTTAGCACATTATAGTTTTTACAGGCAACATTGTAAATTTATTTTAAAAGCTTTTTAATTCTGTGACTTTATTTTCCATGTTTTAAGGGCCCAAATATTTAAAGAAGTGGATAAAAGGATTAAGCAGGGGATGAAATGGAGCATGCACTGAAAGCAAGGAGGAAGGATCGTGGGGCGGTTGAGGGATGGGAGATGGAGGAAGGTTTGGGAATGGATGCGGGAGCCCAGGCAGCTCCTGCAGGATCTAGCCAGACTGTCATCTGTCCCATTGGGGAAACGACAGGGGCAGTGCCCACACTCTGAAGCTTAAATGAGGTGGACAGGAGACAGCAGAGGCAATTTCTGCTCTCCATGGGATTTGTGTTAGGGTATTTTATAGTGGCTTTAGATGCCTGCCAGCATCTTTACTGTGCGCTGTGCCTGCACTCAGCTGCTGTGCCTTCTGTCTCCTGCCTCTTCTTGCTGCTGATGCATATTCAGTGTCACCCAGCTGCTTTTGGAAAGGAGGAAATCAGAGCACACTGGTGATTTTTTCTGGAGCAGCCGCTTATTGGCACGGAGAAGGGGAAAAGGCAGCACTTGCAGTGCAATAAATACATTGGTTCTGTGGAAAGCCTGGTGGATGTCATGGAAAGAAGGCTTTGAGCAGGAAAGTCAGCAGGTTTTCTGCTCTTAAAGCTTTCTGCTCAGCATTGCTGTAGTTGAGAGGGAATTTTGTGAGGTAGCCATTAGCGCTTGCGTCAGATGACTGCACAGTATTTCGAGATGCTGCTGAACGTATACATTCCTGGGAGAACAGGAATTCACATTTCCATTTGAAAAGCCAAATTTTCTTATCTTTTCCTTTTTTCTTTTGATCATGTCTGCATGATTTATCTTTCATTTTCTTAAAATGTTTCTTTCAATAAATGAGATAAATCTGCTTGGTTCAAAAAGAACCAGCAAGTTTTGCTAACTTCGTGCCAGTCTTCGTGCTCGGGTGGGCCCGCGGCCAAGCTAGCATTTCAGTTCAGGTCAGATTTGGACAAAACACAGTAATTATTCTCTGCAACCTTCTCTCCAGGTTTGTGTCAGTTTGGACTCTGGCTCTGAGTGCAGTGGGGCTTGGAGCAGCACTAGGATGGCTTTCAGCGTGCTGGTTGAATGCACGCAGGCAGCTGCAGCACAGAGAGCCGGGTCTGCTCTAGGAAAATGAAGTATCTGCTTTTCAGCGGCTGTGTGTGTGCTACTGCAAAGGGCTCCTGAGCAATTTTATCCCTGTAGTGTGAAAACTGATGGCTGCAGCTATCTTCTATCAGCTGCAGCAAGAAATTGTTAACCACCCTGGGAGTGCCAGCATGGTGCTGCCGGAGTTGGGAGGTACTTTTCAGCACTGTCATAAGTGTGTTGGGTTTCTTCCTAACTTTCGCCAGACTTTTCCAATTACTCTGGAGCTTGCGGTGCCCCAAAAGAAGTGAAGTTTTTTTAACCACAGCATGACTAAGGACCTCCAGCAAGATGATGCTGTCCCTCTTCTTGGGCCAGTAGGAGGGAGACGTGACCAACAGTCCCTGCCCAGGGAGTTCAAGAGCCAGGGTGAATGGGACTGAGCAGTGGTGGAAGGAGAGACCTCGAGGTGAAGTCACATCCACAGGGTTGTCATGGACCAGAGACAGAAGCATATCTTCTGTTTGTCCTTCACGCTGCCCATTTTGTCTAGATCTGTGTTTATTGGCTTAAACATGGATTGAAGTTGCTCATTTAGAGGTAGTTAAAGAGTGATGCTGCTTTAAAACTGGTCTGTTGCAATCACAGGGTAGTGCTTGAAGTAAGTAAACTGGCTCAATGTGTCATTTTCCTTGGACAAGGACTTTCTCTCCCTGGCCACTAATAGTGGTTTTGAGCGGCTTTGCTGTGTTTCTCATTGCAAGGTGGAGGGAGCAGGTCCTGCTAGCAGATACCGTCAAGGGTGTGAAACTCAGTTGTCATTTCTCACTTCGTTATCAAAATAGCTTTATATGGAAATGTGGTGAGATTTGAGAGGCCCTAGGTGAACAACACAACACCCTTTGCAAACCTGTGGTCCCTCCCCACCACCACCACCGAACATCTGCCCCATTGCCTTTATTCCCAGCCCTGATCAGGCAGGTCTGTGCCTGGAGGGTCCTGGAGGCTTCCTTGTGAGGTGGAAATCCTAATCCTATGCTCTCTTCCCTGCTTGGGTTTCAGGGTGGATCCTCACACCAGGGTGGGTGCTGGTGGAAATGAGCTTGGCTGTGCGAGCAGGAGACTGAGCTGAGTTGCGTCATCTTCTCCCTCCTCTGGGAGCTCCAGAGCTGTCCTGGAGCTGGTCTTTAGGTGATGCTGGTGGCAGGAAAGCCTGGGTCTGAGGAGCAGCTTGGACTTGCACTTGGGACAGTTTATAGCCAGAAATTGACTGTGTGTGCGTCCCCTGGCTCTCCTTCTCCCCACAGGCCACCTGAGAGTTAGCCACCCTCAGCTGCTGCCACCAGCAAGTATCCTCTCCTTAAAACTGACTTCTTTCTTGCCATGTCTGGCAAGAGGTGAGAGGAACATCTCGGCAGGATATGTGGTCTGTAGGTAGCACCTACATTTGGTGTCTGTTCAGACGTGGCTGACAGAGGGAAGAGAGGTGGGTGTTGGGTAGTCCAGCTCTGTTTCAGTGGGAAATCCTTACAGCCTTCAGCAGACACGACCAGGGTCTGAAATCGATGAAGATTTAAAGGGGCAGAGTGAAGAGGTGTGTTTTCCTTATATCAGTTGCAACCAACAAGCTTATTTTATGCAATAAGTAGCAGAAACTATTGGTCTGTGAACAGCCCTGAGCACCACCTTCTATCGCCCAGGCTTTTGGGAGGGTCTTTAAGTGGTTTTAAATGTATGTCATGGTTGTGGGGAAGGATGGGAGAAGGAAGGAGGGGTCACTGTAGCCGGACAGGGCTGTTCGTGTGCAGTTTACTTTTTTGCAAAAGGCTTTCGCTGTGGAGGTCTGATGATCATCTCGACCACTGGTAACAGCACCTCTCAGGGAGGGTAACACTGATGTCACCTACATCTTGTGGCTTCACCTGGTCCTAAGCTGCTGAGCCACCATGCCGAACTACAGGTGTGGTCACCCAGCCAGTGACCCCAGCTGCCCCATCGGGTCCTGCTTCTGACCTCTGTCCTACTCTGTCTCTTCCAGGCACCTGCGTGAAATGCAGCAAGGGGGTGTATGGAGCAAACCAGGCTTGCCAGGCCATGGGCAACCTCTACCACGATGGCTGCTTCACCTGCGGAGCCTGCAGTGAGTACCCCCTGCCTGGCCTGCCTCCGGAGCAGGGCCCTGGGGCAAACTATTTGGGCTTAACATTCTTCTGGTGTGAAGGGGAAAAAAAAGGAGGGGGTTATTGAATTATCTGCCAGCTGGAGTCTGCCGCAGCTTTATGTCTTGGTGGTGGTGGTTGCTGTTTGTTTTTGAACGGATTCCTGCAAGGCATGTAGAGAAGATATTTTGGATTGTGCCAGCCGCCTGCTTTCTGGTATGGGGACGATTGTTTTAATTTCTCTGCCTCTCAGTTACATCCACATTTTCTTACTTCTAAGAGTATTTTTTCCAAGTGGCAGTGAGTATGTCTTAGCTAGGATGTAGAAGTATTTTATTTGTCGTGTCAGACTTTATAGCCATTCTGGCCTTTCAGTCTGCAGATCCCAGGGAGAGCCACTGGGTCGGCACTGTGCCGAGGGCATGGGCAGGGTGTGGGTATCGGCAGCAGGCTCTGTGAGTGCCGGAGACAGCTTTTCAGAGAGAGCTGCTGCACGGTCAGTCCGGTGATGGTGTTTTCACTGCGTGCATTACTTTTACTTACTAAAATCATTTTACCCTTCCAAGTGACCTATGGTCAAAACATCTAAGTGTATGAATGACCCAGGTTACACGTCTTGATTGTTCTTTTTCCAGGGAAATGGAGCTGTGCCCCAAGACAAGGGGCACACCTCTGTCAGCTTGCTTTCTGGTTATTGCAGGGAGGGAGCTGGTTGTTGTGACAGAGGTATCAGTCTGGGAGCAGCGATGATGAGCCCTGTGGAATCTGCTCGAGAAGCAGGGTAAATAGTTTAGCTGGCCCTTCTGAGCTCCCTGCCGCTTGTCAGACCTACATCTGAAGCTCGCTGGAGCATACAGCATGCTGCAATATATGGATCCTCCTAAGCATCTTTTCAAGGAGATCCATGATGGAGATGGGGTGGGGAACAGGCCACTTGATTTCAAATTGTGGCTGTATTTGTAAAACAGTGGGGTTTGTATTTTGTAATGCTTAACTATAGGACTAGTAGCGTATTTTTAGAAATGTAGCTGTGTATGTGGTGGCAGGAAAAAAAATAATAATCCTTCTGGTGCTTTTGTATATACGAGTTTGGTTTTCGCAGATGAATCTTAGTGTTTTTCTCCTGATTTGTGTTTGGAGTTGTAAACTCATGAGGACTGCATGTGTTTTATTTGGAGCTGTAAAGTGGGAATAAATATAGAAAGACATGTATGCTTTTTAATAATAACCGAACCTTGAACTCTGCTCATTTTCCAGCTGCCTGACACCAGCTGCCTTGCCTTACCTATGTTTTCAGTAGAGCACTTCACCGTCATCTGACCGAAAAGGGGAAAACAGAAAAGTCGTGTTTGCATGGGGTGCCAGTTTCCTAAAGGCTCAGAAGTCAGCAGCTTACTCTTTTGTCCTCTCTTAGAAATTAGCTTGAAATCTTCTCCTGTGGGAAGGATTCCTGGCTGCAGTGGGGCTTTACTTCAGGGACCTCTCTCCCTCTGGCTGGGCATTGCCTGTGCACTGCCCTTGCACACAAAGTTCCTGTTAAAAATAATCCAGCAGGAGGTTCATGCTGTCTTAAATTTCTAAAATTACTACTGTGCAACTGGTGCTTTAGAAAGAACACTTTTGATCCTTCTTTAGAACGGATTTTACCATCTTTATTTGGAGACCAGCGCTTGGGGGGTATTTGTGGTTGCAGACGTATCAGTGGTTACTTCTGTTTGTGTTTGCTTAAAAAATAGATTAATCCCATTTCTAATGAGGCGAGTTGTTGAGGGCTGAGAGAATAGCTATTTGCTGCTTATTCTAAAAGGCAACCCTTTCCAAAGGTTTCCAATGCAAGATGAAAAGGTGTGGAGTGTCAGGTGAAACTTAGAAAGATGGAAAGAAGCTAAGTTTAGCAAAATTAAGCCTATTTTCTCTTTTACCCAGGGCACAACTGAGAAATGTGCTGAGGACATGTAGGGCAAAGGGTTTCAAATGGAAAGTAAAAAAACAAAAAAAAAGGGCTAGAAAACGATGGGGGTGTGGGGAAGAAACAGGGGAGCAATAATACTATTTCTCTGAGTAGAAAATACTGTATTTCTATATGAGATAAAAAAGGGGAATACAAGTCACAGGAGTATAAGTGAGAGCCTAATTTGGCTTGTTCTGTGCAGAAGAGTAGTCACGTATGAAGGGTAAAGTCCTTCCCGTTGGGGCAGCGGCCACACTAAGATGGAAGCTGGACACAGCGGGTGGATGGAGAGGATGGTGTGTGGTGGCATGGGATTCCCAGCACTTGAAGGAGAGCAGCGCCAGAGGGAGGCCCCTGCAGTAGTGGTGCTTCCCTCACCTGCATGTACCTCTACGAGTGGCAAGACTTGCAAGAAACCCTCCAGTACAGGAGTTGGTTTCCTGCACCGCTCCTGTGGTGTGCAGGGCCTTCCTGCACCAGTCGCTTGTGCCAGGGCTTTGCTGCCTGGGCTGTTGTGCTTGTAAATGCGTAGCTGGGCTGACTTTCTGATTCATCAAGCCTCTTTGCATTGCAGCTGCTTAGTAACTGATGCCTGGGGTGGTGCATGCCGTCCTGTGCTGCGCTCAGGAAGGAAATGTACCCAAGGGGAATCCCCCCTTTCAAAGATCGAGGTAATTTCCCAGTCCCCCAGACCATCAGCTGCTACAGGGATGAAGGGCACACAGCCTTGCCGTTCACCCAGTGAGAGCCGTGCCCCTCTGCAGGCTTTCTGTCATCTGTGTCACTGCAGTAAATATAACGAGACAATTTTATCTGCCAGAAAAATAAATATTTGTCCGGACAGCGTTGTCTTGCATTACTTGAGCAGCCTGTGTGGAAACTCTGGTTTCTAGCTGAAAAGTAGGTAGTGCTTTTAAGGTCAAGTGGAGTTCATCTTGGACACCATCCAGTACAAACTTGTCTTTGAGAAGTCAAGGTTGCTCATGATTTCAATCCTAAAATTTCTGCTCTGGTGGAACGCTGAATATCTCCACTCCAATAAATAAAATATACAAAATTACCTATTAAGGTAAAGCTTATTGTCCTCCAGATATTTATATCTGCTGTCCTGCTGTTTTCATTTTAGTGAGGATTTCTAATTTTGCTTGTAGCTGGATTTGTGTCCAAATGCACATTGTGGTTTCCCAGAGACAGAAAACTGAGAGGGTCTAAGGGGGGGGCAGTGCGGGTGTGATATCTCATAGTGCCAAATTTCCTACACCCTCTGTTTCCTGATACACATACGTGCAGAGATAAATGATAGAGCAATTTGTTGAGCAGAGCTGCACATACATTACAGGATTCAGTTGTCAAGAAAAAAAATTTACTGTTTTATCTGAGCCACTGGCATGTAATGCAGAAAATTTGGCTTAGAGGTCAAAACAACAGATTTAGAATGATTACTTTGGCATAAATGTCTCATTTATCTTCTTGTTTGTTACAGGGCAGAGATACAAACAAGGCAGTTTTTTGCAGAGGGGGAGAGGAAAAAACTTCAGGATCTTTCTGCAGGATTAGTAATAAATTATATTTGCTTTACAGGAGGGCCATGAAAGTAGGTTAAAAAAAAAAAAAAAAAAGTCCCCGAAACTCATACAGCTATTTCCTGCAAGCTCAAGGAGTCTGTTTCTATCTGGGGTTGCTTTTTCAGTTTGTTGGACAAACAGTCGTAGTTATCAAGTGGTTTGTTGCACATTAACCATTTCAGTTAAATCACTAGTTTATACCTCCTCAGAACACAAAAGATGCAAGTATTGGTATTTGTTATTTAGGCAGTAAGGAGACTTTATAAAGGATACAGATTTAACTAGACAGCATTGCTCTAACCTGTTGTGGTAGTTTAGTGTTTTCTTTAGGATTCAGCCAGGGTTATATCTGACCACCGCAGGCTGCGTGGAAAACAGACCCTGCTAGTGGTATAAGGGTCTTGTACTTGAGCCACTTGGTTCTCAGAGGAAATCTGAAAGCTAAAAACGTGCAAGGGAAGTGTCAGAGATGACTGTGAAGGAAATCAGTAGGCGAGGAAGGAAGTCAGAAAGAAAGAACTGATTGCAAGGTGGTTTGAAGGAGGGTTCATTGTTGAACTACCGCAAAAGGACCAAAATGAGGACCAGATTTTGGCCCTTTATTGCAAAGAGGTGGAAACCTTGCATGTTTGTCAGATGACAGAATTCGACCTTTGACATGTCAACATTACTACATTACTTTCTTTTTCTTTTTTTTTTTTTTTTGGTAAGCTCAGATTAATACTGATGTCTGTGTAAGGGTAACAGGCTGCTATTCCAGTGGCAGAGTTTGAAGTCACATGAGCTAGCTGTCTCTTGCCACCCTCTGGGTATATGAATTCTTTATTTAGTATTTCACAATGTAGTTGTGTTTAGAGCTATCAAGGGTAATTTACTAAATGAGGTAGCTAAGCCATCGAAGGAGAATTACGTGCAAGCGTAGCCTTCTGCTTGGGCTAGTTAGTCTTGCTGCAGTGATTATAAAGCATGGCTACTTAAAGCAATCCAGCTCTTGGTGTCTTTGGGTTAATTGTGTTGGATAAGTATGCCCTGTATTGATAAACCCCTGGAACAACAAGGCCACGGTTTTTATTGGCACTGCTAAATACAAGTAGAAAGTCACTTTTTTTCTGCAGGCGCAACTTAATCCCAGACAGCAGGACAGCCAGCCTTGCCAAGTGAATCTCCCCATGGCACATGCATGTGTATGGTTATCTTCAGATGCAGAAACTGCCAGCTCTTCTAGTGGAGGTAGAATTAACTGCCTGTAACTGGATATAAACCCACTACACCGATCAACATGTGTGAGAAATGTGCAGATCTCCAAAGTGGAGAGTGCAAAGTATTGCTGGCAATCCTTCCTCAGCATCCCTTTAATAAAATTATCATGCCAGAGTCTTTTGTATTGTTTTTAGCAAAAGTAATGTCAGAAAAGATTCAGATGTGCCTGACTTTACAGTTTGGGAGACAGGGGAGGCATCAGTGC